TGTCCAACTGTGGTCTTCCTGTCCCTGTGGCTTTGCAATGAGAGGCACTGCCCGAGCCCGTGTCGAGCAAATTAGACGCTCTTCATTAACATTGGAGAAGGTCACCTCCAGCTCTCCGGAGGGTGGGTCCGGCCGCTTGTTCTTCTGAGAGGTGCCGGTGTGGCAAATCGCAGAGATGGCCATTAGCAAGTCCCGCAGAGGGAGTGGGCAAGGGCATGGGCTTTGTTCCCCAGAGCTGCTTTAAAACAAAAAAAAAAACAGAGAGCGAGAGGGGGGGATGTTTTGTAATTGTTTTCGAGCGCACGCGGGCTTGGTAGCAAAATGAGATGGAACCCTTGATTTCTAACCTCCCGCGGCACTGCTCAAAATTCCTCCCTGGGAGAGGAGTCGGAGGCAACGCTGAAGCACTCTGAATGAGAGATTTGCATCCTCTCTCCGCTGTGATTGTCCCAAAGGAACGATCCACATCAAACCGCACTTGTTTGTAAAGATCTTCCACCCAAGGTGGGCCGCTTCCCAGGGCGCTGTCAGCGTGGAGGCTTGGGAAATACAAAGAGAGAATTAAAACGCCAGGCGACCCTGGGTGGGACTAGACAGGGATCTAAGGTCACCGGCTCCCTGCCCCCAGCCCCCCCAGTGGATGATCTCACTCTCAAGGCTGGAAGATGAGGTGGTGATTAACAGAATGCAGTTGCTGGATGCATTGGCTATGGGGGACCGCCACTGGCGAAGTGAGTGCTTCGATTGGACAACGCCCCCCCCTCCCACCCCCGTTTCTATGCCAGGGAAACAGCTACCCAAAGTAGCCTGGGTTGTGCTCAGCCACTGTATCCAGACACCTGCAGACAAGGTGCATGGTGACAGGGAGGCACAGTCCCTCTGGTCTATCGCCCTGGGAAGGCCAGCCAGCCCGAGGAAGAGGGGGGAGGACAGGAATGGGTTGGCCTGCAAGAGAGACAGGCAGGCAGCAGTGCACGCCGAGGGGGGGAGAAAGTTCCAAGAACCACACCTGGTCACATCCATCACTGAAGGGTGGAACATCCAGAGGTGGCTCTGCGGAGGTCCCAGGAGCCGCATCCTTTCCACACAAGCGGTGGCAGCCATTGGGTCTTATCCCTCCCTGCTGGACAAGCTCTTTCTGGGTGGTATGGAGCAAGAGTAACCATTGCAAAGAGTGGGTTGAGAAATATCGGGGCGGTTCTAGACCAAGGATCAGAGGGTCGGAAGTGGAGTGGAGAATAAGCAAGGGCATTAGGAAGAAGCAGGCGCTCTTTAAAAGGGGGGAGCGGGGTTGAGATTAGACCAGAAAGTATCCACTAGACACAGGACGTGTGCCTGACCCTGAGAACACTCGCCGGCAATTGGTTTGGGTTTCTTGATACACTGGGGGTGAAGGTGGGGGGGCGTCGATCCCCACCACCACTACTGTTCTCCGCTGGATTCTGGCTCCAGGCAACCCCAGCATAGAAGTGGGTTACAGGGGCCTTCAGGGGGGTGGTCAGAAAAGCACATCACCGTTTAGTTAACCATTTGCACGGTCCCCACAGCCACACCCACACGAGAGTTGACATTGGCCCTAGCCCCCATTTAGTAACCTGTGGAGCTCCTCTGTGGGTCCCTGGTCTAAGATCTGATTTTTCAGCTCCAACTCCTGAGCCACCTGGGTGGCCACGGCAATAATAAAGACAACCACAGGACTCGACGCCTGCCCCTCCTCACCCCAGCTATCTTAGGGAGGCACTTGCGCTGCATGCCAGAGGGAGGCCAGGCAGGCGGGACGGGTGGCAGGGCGAGGGGTGGAGTCCGGTCACCTCATAGCCTCTGGGCCTCCCCGCAGGTGCGCACAGGTGCTGCTGGAGCACGGAGCCTCGGTGCACCTGGCAGGTGGAGAGGCCCGGGACACGCCCCTGCACGTGGCCGCGCGCTGCGCCCTGGACGAGCACGCGCGCCTCTACCTGGGCCACGGGGCGCGCGTGGACGCGCGGAACAGCCACGGGGAGACGCCTCTGAGCACCGCCTGCGGGGCGGCCTGGCGGCCCGAAGAAGACGCGCGCGG